ACCTGTAAAATTATGAGTAGCTTCGCAACGTAATTAGAGTAGTATGAAATTTAATGACATATCATAAATTCGCATCCAAATTAAGCACTTTAATATGATGTCTTATTTGTGACTTTCTAATTTTCTATTAAATTAAGTTGCGCTTGTTCCTTTTCCACTCTTTTTGAATGTGATGAGGAGTCTAATTACTTTCATCATTCATCAAATAATTACACATGGTAATATTGTTAATCATTCCAGAGTACTATGTGATAAATTAGTTCGTCTTATCTAAACTAACTCTTAAAATATAATTTTCGCATAACTTAAACAACTGAGGCTATCGTTTAATTTAAAAGACACTGGTTGGTTATTGAATAAAATTTACTTAATATATATCAGGTAAGTTCAAATTTAATATGACTATATATCATTACAAGAAAAAACTACAATTTATAAATTAAAAATTATTCCCTGGTAATCTATAATTAGAAGTGCATTAGCATATCATATCCAAGTTAATTTCATTTTGAATGAATGGAATTAGAAGGAGTTCCTGTAATATCCATAAAGTATTGGTTATAATTTTTAGTTTAGTGGTAAATATTCGAGGCAGGAATAAATCTAAATGTTGAAAATTAAATATAAATGAATTGTTTTAAGATTTTTGATAAAACTCTAATTGAATAAAAAAATGTCTCTTATATTTAATTTTTGAATTCAACGAATTTCCATTATATAACCTTATCTCGTAGAGTCTATTCTATAATAACCTAGTTTATGTAGAGAAAGTGCAAGTCCTTTGACATTTGAGGTTTTGCATTCAAGCTTCTGAAAAGATAGAAAGAATATTAAAGTCCTAGTTTTGTTGAGTATTTCTCCACTTTATCGATACATAAATACATAAATAGGATGAATAAATGTAGAGAAAATAGAAGTGACGTGGGTGCATGCTACCTTTGAAGGAAAAAAAACAATATAGTACTTGTAAAACGACCATAGGGCCCTAGCGTCACAACCTTGTCCGCTACAATAATAGGTAAAATTTGATACCTGAATATGGATATGCCTTCAACGAAGTTGAAATCTACCAATGCCGACAAACCCTAAAACTTTCCCTCCCATCAATCATAATTCATAACTGCTCGTGTTCTTCTTTTCAACATCAAAGATAAGATTACTGAAAATAGAGAGAATGTAGATGTTATGCATCATTTTGATATGTGTTAGCCTCACGTGTGATACACCAATGAGAGTGAGTCGTTGGACCCATGTCACACGAGCCAATCACGGAACAAATGGATGTGGTGGGCACACCACAATAGTTTTTCGCCTTCTAATTATATCACCACGTACATCATTAATTAAGTCCTACAATTAATATATTATTATTAGCAACATTAGGGGACGCTTATATGGTAAGATTTGAAGAAAAGGTTGTTTGTCTTTATCGTCATGCACCCAGTGTATACAAAAAGAACATGTTCGCACAATCCAAGGAGAAAATTAAATCGTTGATTGAGGATAATGGCATATACCTCCACCTTAGCAACATAATAATAATAATAATTAAAGAATAACAAATCGTCCTTAAACACACGCATGATTACGTGAGTTGTTCTATCACAAGATTGAATGGTGGTGAAGGAGGCATGTGAATTGCAAACAATATTTTTGGGGACAATATCATGTGTTTGCCATTGCCCAAGTGGCTTTTACTGTGCAATATGGAGACTCTATCAAGAAAACAAGTCAAGTAAACCAAGAACAATGCCTACAATATCTAAAATCAAACTCAGTGTCATATTTTTCTCTACCTCTTTTTTTTGTTTCATTCACGGCATAAAAGATGAAATATTTACTGATTTTATTTATAATAAATATTTTTTGAAAAAAATTATCACTTTTTAGCATTTTTTTTCTCATTTATAAACTTTGAACCAGAAATTTCGCGTCCAATTATACTCTCTGTGGTTTTAAATGCAAGAAACTTTACTTTCTGAATTTTAATACCGAAGATTTAAATTGTCTGTCCCATATACCTCACATAAAGACCTAACCCATATTCACCTTCTATGAATCCACGTGATCCGTTCAATCGGCCTGTTTCTGAAAAAACTTTAGGCCCATTCGTTAGCCTTTAACTAGAAAACTATTTGGGCCTAAGAAGGCGAGGCAGAAACTATAGAAGGCTCCTGCTATTTACATTCACATGTTTTGCTATACAGACTCCCTTTTGTTTCTTTCTTTTAAAATCATATATTTATCTTTATTTTTTCCCTTCTTAAACACTCACGCAACACTAGTGATATAAAATTTTTAAGTTTAAATTAAAAAAAAAAATTAATTTTATAATAAGGAAACACCATTTTATAGTTTCACTTTCCCAACCTTGTATACCATAAATTTTAATTAACATCAAGTTTGTTTCTTTATAATTAAATTAAAAATAGTTTTAACTCTCTCAACATTCTATTTTTCTGGCAAAGCTTTTGTTGAAAATATATCTTAAAAGAACTAAAAAAACATTTTTTCTTAATATTCTTGCAATTATTTTATCAAAGTTTACATTTACTAAAAGTACTCTTTAAAATGCAAAAATAAATTTCTAAAGTACATTGCGAAATTAAAAAAATGTAGAAATTAATGTTCAAAATACTCTCGCATATTTTGAAATCATTTTTGGACAAATTTTTTTAATATTTCAAAAGTATTTTTGGAATGCAATTTTTTTAACATCTTGACAAATATTTTATAAAACACAAAACAAGAATGAAAAAAAAAAAGGTACATATGTTATTTCAATTAAAAGAAATTGCATTTAAAAAAAAGTCGAATGTAAATAGTAGATACCCACTAGTGGGTAAAAAAATGAAAAAAAAACTCAAAATAATATAATTTTAAAATTTAAAATTATAATTAGTTTATATTAATAAGTATTGTAAAATAAAAATATAATTAGTTTAGAGATGTTCTAAATTGAAATCTAAAATTTTAAGTTTTTAACATTTTTTTTTCATCTAAAGTTAAAATTAAATCTTATATTTGTTTAAATAGATTTAAGTCTATCCAATTACCTCAATTAACTTCTTTGTCAACTTTACTAAATTTCATAAATTATAAAATGTTTTAATTTCATTTTTATTTTCTATTTATCACAATTACGTATTTTGTAATTTTTATGTTTTAATTACATTAATAATTTTTCAAATTTAGTTTAGTTTCTTTGACTTATAAACCATATTATACATCATAGCAAGAAATTATAATATGACTGTGCTAAAATATTAAAATAAATAATATTCAAATTATATCCCTAGAATATAAGCTATTTGATTATAAGTAGAAAGTTACCCTCACTTTTATCAATCATTATTGGTTGTAATTAATGGTATAAGTTAATTAGCTTTCATATCAACCATTATTGTTAAATAAATATTGTTTGTATGGACATAATATATTACATAAGTGGACAGTTCCTTCTTCCTTTATTCGTCTCGTTTTTATTGAAAAAAACGATTTTTCCATTGAAATGGGTTAAAATTATTTAGATTTTATTTATATGGGTTAAATTTTTTAAAAATTAAGAAAAGGTGTTAAATCTTGTCATGTTACATCGTTTTAAATAAAAAAAATCGTGTAATTCGATTTTGTAATAAAATAATTAAAACCATATTTTTTTATATATTTTTATTTTTTTATAAAATCAAAGTCCTGTAAGAAAAAAGTCATACGTAATACGATCTTAATTGTATTCATAAATAAAGTAGTACGTTCATAGGATTTTGATTTTATTTTTTTAAATAATTAAATTAATTTATTAAATAAATATATTATTTAAAAGTTAATAATTTATTATATGTATATATATATATATATTATAAATATTATATTAATTAATTATTTTATTTATATTAATTATTATTTTATATAAATTTTGTATAAATAATAAAAATAGAAAAATAAATATTAATAAATTTATTTTTAAATTTAAATTATGTTATATTATTTATTTCAAAATTAATAATATATATCTTTATAGTTTTTTTACAATTAAATTAAGTTTTTGAGATAAATATATTATTTTAAAAAATTTATAATTTATTTATTTTTTATATAAATATATATATATATATATATATATTAGAAATTATAAAATATTATATTAATTAATTATGTATTTATATTAATTATTATTTTATATAAACTTTCTATGAGTAGTATATAAATAATAAAGGTAATATATATAATAATAATAATAATATTATTATTATTATTATTATAAAATTAAATAATATATATATTTTAAAATAATATATTTATTTCAAATATTATATTAATATTTATTTTATATCAATTTTTTAAACAATATATTTATCTAAATAATATTTATTATTAATTTTGAAATAAATTATATAACATAATTTAAATATTTTTTTTATTTTTATATTTCTATTATTTATAAAATATATAAAATAAATCATTAATATAATATCTTATAATATAAATATAATAATAATAAATTATTTATTTTCAAATAATATATTTATTTAATAAAATTAAGTTAATTATTTAAAAAAACAAAACCAACTTTTAGTCATATACGAATATAACGTTATGTATTTATAATATGACTTTGGTTTTATAAAAAAAAGAATTACTTTGAATTCGTTTGATTTTAGTTATTTTATGTAAGATAGTATAATATAACACATTTAACCCCTTTTAGTAAATTTTTAAAATTTTGATCCAGTAAAATCCAAATATTTTGAAGTCATTTTTGGTGAAAAAGTCCTCAAAAGCTTCCTACCCTTCCATGGCGCTTAGCCTGACAACTCTGCAAGAGACATGCCTCTCGATGCTAACCCACCCTTACCATTAAACTAGAAGCCTCAACTTTCCTCGTAACCGGTCATCCAATCCTCACGGAAGTCCCACCCAGCATAACAATCACCACTCCACTTTCCCACTATTCTTCCACCAACCCCGTTGGATGCTTCGTCGGTTTCACGGCCGACGAATCACGAATCACGCATCCGGTACGTGACTCCCATCGGCAAAGTGAGAGGCATCAGGTTTACGAGCATATTCAGGTTCAAGCTGAGGTGGAGCACCCACTGGTCAGGAAGCAATGGCCCCGACGTGGAGCACACAACCCAAATGATGATCCTAAAAAGCCACGCCCCTACCTCCTCCTCTTCCCGCTCCTGGAAGGGCCCTTCCGAGCCTTGCTCCAGCCCGTCCTCCGCCACGGCAATGTAGACATGTGCATGGAGAGTGGCTCCACACGTGCACTGAGGATGTATCCCCAGGGAGGCGAGAAGGGTTGAAGGGCCACGTGGAGGGTGGTGCCCTCGGGTTTGATCATCATGGACGACGACGGTTGACAAAGGTTTTTTCGTGACTATGAGACCGTCACTGATGAAGGAAGCTTGAACTGTTTTCCAGGGGAACATAGGCTGAACAGTTTAATAAAATTTGAAGAGAATTATATGTTTAAGGAGTATCGGTCTCGGAAGGGGGTAGGGTGCCTTTGTGAGGGACTTGAAGGAGAGGTTTAGAGCGTTGGAGTATGTGTGTGTGTGGCATGGCCTTTGTGTACTGGGCTGGTGTTAGGTCCATTGTCCGGGGATGCCGGAGTCCACGGTGGTTGCGACCAAGTTGTCTTCCGTAGCAGAGATGACTTTCACTGACCAAGCGGCAAGCGGTGCGGAAGTTAATGAAGATTGGGGTGGGGTTGGTTCCACCGCATGGTGCGCACGTACGAGGGCCTTTACTCTCACTTGGAGCACGGGAATCACGGTGTTAAAATGGATGTCACCACATGTAATACATGAATCATTAGACATATAATTTTATAATTATAATTTTTTTTGAGTAAATATTTTTTATTCATCATAAAATATGACTTTCTTTGTGATTTTTTATCACTAAAAAGAAATAGTTTTACAGAAAATAATCCGAAAATCATGAAAGTTTGTAAAAAAAAGAAAGATGAAAATAAAGATTACCCGCGGATAAATATAAGTCGATAATATCATTAAAAAAATTACGATCATAATTGATAAGTTCGTGGGTAATTATGATAAAGTTTTTAATAATTATTGATATATTTATCTATTGGTAAATTATATATGTTATTTGTATCTTTGTCACTAATTTTATCAGTAAATTTTTCAATGGCATTTTATGAAAAAAAAACTGCATAAAATTGCGTCATGAAATTGCCCAAAATAGCATAAAACAATACCAATGAAAAAATAGCCCCCACAGTCAAAACAACACAAAATTGCGTATTGCACAAAATTACATCATCAAATCGCACAAAACAGTACCAGTTATAAATTAATACCAATAAAAATTACACACAAAAATAGTTTCCCTACCCAATTTGAAATTTCAAACTCACACATCAATTCTACGTCTCCCCCTCGAGTTTATTCGCTTTCACATTGTTATATCTTCTCCTTAAGAGGAAACATTTCTTAGTCATAGACTCTGATACCAAATTTAGGTATTTCTGAAAAGGCTAACTATCGGGAGAATAAAAAATTTTAAGGCATTAGGTTATGAGTCTTTCTCACTTATAAGTTACTCAACTTCTTCGTCTATACTTAATGTGAGACTTCAAACTCACTTGAATTCTAAACACATGTCTCATTAGTGTGTTTCTTAATTTCCTCATCTATACCTAATGTGGGACTTCAAATTCATACTTGAATTCTCAACATATGTCTCATTGGTGTGTTTCTCCCCAGTAAACATGTTTCATTGGTGATGTTTCTCCTCAATAAATCTTTCCTTGAAAGACCCAACAAGTGGTATTAGAGCGAAGGTTGATCGACAATTTAAGAGTGATGCTTGTATCGAAAGTGTTCTTGACAGTGGATCAAGTACTTGAAAGGACTACTAGTGAACTTAAGGGGATGTACCAATATGAAGGAACTCACACTTGAGGAAGAGATTGTTAGATAATCAAAGTGTGAGTTAAGTCTCACGTTTAATAAGAATGAGAAAATTGAACAATATATAAGAAAATATGACCGATAAGGTTTTAGGTCAAGAAAAATGTAAATCTTTATATGGATTGGACTCATGTCTCATTGATGTATTTATTCCATGTGAATCCCCTTGAAATATCCAACATAAAACATAAGGATCATTTAATAATGAAGTGTTTGATTCATTGACAAAACACTTAATTACATATCAAACCCTAATCCTCAAATACATATTAATTCCCAAACTTCAAACAAGATATCCTACTATATACTATAATCATTCTGAACCCAAACTTCTTCTCCATTAACCTTTGCGCAGAGAAAGGTCAAAATACACTACCTAAGTAAAATAAATCAAAATGTGAAGAGGAGCAACATACCTCACGTAAGATTCACAATACTTTGCAAGCTAAATTTTGATGGTGGATTTGGGGATTTAGGATTTTAACACGAAGAACAAATTGGGGTACAACAATAAATACACTTAGGAATTAAGAATGATTCAAGTAATTTACGGGAATGAAAAATTGAATGATTGATCGATTTGGGGAATTATAGAATTTAAGGAATGAGAGGTAGGAGAGTAGGAATGCAGATATTAGAAGGAAAACAAAGATGAGATAACAAAAATAAATTGTGTTTTTTAATGTATTGTGTGATTTACTAGGACGATTCATAATTGAACCTACATGAAGAGTATTTGAATTTTATGCTCTTTGTGTTTGTAGTTCTCAGGCTTTTTCTTTGTGCACTACAACACCCACCAAACGTTTTTTTTTTTTTTATTATTCACATGTTATTCTCTTTTTGTATTCTTTCTTATTCTTATTTTTTGTCATCACACTTGTAATCACCTCTACAACTTTGCTTTTTCCTTGTGCACTACAAAGGTAAGAATTTGTTTATATTTTGTCTATGAATATTATGATTTAATTTGATAGAGTGTTCAAATTTATGATGTATTATGATATTTAATGTGAGAATATTTTTCTTATGAATATTTTAAATGATTATTGTTCGATTTTTTTAATGTTTTATGCTCAATGTTTTTCATTGTAAATGATTCATGTGTTCAAATATTTAGGATTTGTTATAATATTAAAATTGGATTGAAGTTGTTTGATACAATTTTAACGAAAATAAGATAATTTTAAAAAAATGACCCCAAATTTTTTATAACGATTATACGGAAAACCAACCTAGTAAGTAAAATTTAACATGTCAATCGTATAACAACCAACATAAAAAAAAATATAACATTCAATATCATCTTTATAAAACCACTTTAAAAAATTTTAAAAATCATCATAAAAAGTTCTATTTGTGGTAGTGAATTCTTATAGTCATAAAAAAAGAATATATAGTCATAAATTGAGAGTCGTATCCATACTTTTACATATATATGGCAGGTTGTAGAGATGTTATGATGGTCGTGTTGAACTGGCCAAACCATATTACAAAGCACTGACTGCTTCGGTGAGGAAGCATTTCAAAGGTAATGGTGTCATTTCCAACATGCAGGAGTGCAATGATTAGCTTTTTTAAGTATATGGGTAAACACACCACATTTAATTGTATCTAATTTGAAAAATTTTAGGAAAGAAGGTCAAATTGTAGTTTTGGATCTATGGTTTCACACCGAAGAACTCGTAGACGAGTTCAGTGCTTCAAGAAATCGTGCATTACATTATTTCAGTTGGGATAAATTTTTTTTAACTCATGCTAGTTAGCACGAGGGTCTTTTTTTTTTTTTTCTTTTCAACTAAATGGAATGAAATGTACCTGCCTCCGTGTAAGTTCAGTTTGTTTTGCAAGCATAATCTTGTCGGAGTCCTTAGGATAGCCGCAGGCCACAATTACAGATTTGATTAAGAATAAAAGGAAAGTAATATATTTTAAAGACGTGATATCTTACAGGATTTATGAAGATTAATTAATGGTCTTCAATGTTATGATTATTTTGTTTAAATTTTATCAGTATAGAAGTGTTTATTGGCATAAACAAAAGTTGGATAAATACTTACGGGTGCAGGAAATGCTCAAAAAGCCAAATGCGAAGAACAGAGACAACACGTTCAGGCACGCCTCTTTGGGGCCTCCAAGCATTGTGTTGGATCATTCCTAGCTGCTGCAAAGCTCGTTGTTATAACATCTTTGAGACATCCAAATTCCTTTAAAAACTGTCCTTTAAACGCAAGGATAGTATAACACTTTGTCGTACCAACACTTACACGACTTTAGTACAAATTAAAAAAAAAAAAAAATCCCATATCATCCAACACGAATTTTTGGTTATGAAATCCTATTTAAGCATGACCGTCTTTCATAAATTGGACTCTTTTTAAGTAAACGTTTACCCGTAAAAAAAAGCAGCGATGATTTCATGCTCCTTGGTATGGAAACCATATCACTTGGAAGAGTCGGTAAGTCTTCAATTAAAACACTCAAATAAATCAGTGCGAACTTGTATTTTCACTACAACCTGTTAATGTTTATAGATATTCATTTCTTAACTGTGAGTTGTGGTACATTCATACAGTTGATGATTTTTGGTGCAAGGTGTTAAGAAATAAAAGTATTATTCCGAGAAAATTAAATATCGTATAAGAAAGTATGACTATGATAGAAACTTTAATATTTTGGGTTAAATATAATGTCAATTCTTACGTGTATTGATTCATGTGAGTTCATACGTGTTTCTTTTTATGAATTTCCCTCGAAAGATTGAACCTATGATCAGCCGGAGATCCAAACGGTAGCTATGGTGCACTGTGCTTACAACAGCTATGGGCAATTTCATACACCCAGATTGGGACATTTTCCAATCTGATCATGCTTGTGCCGAATTCCAAGCTTCCTCCAGAGCCATTTCTGGTGGACCAATTTATGTAAGCGACTCTGTTGGAAAACACAACTTAAAGTTGCTTAAGAAGTTGGTTCTACCTGATGGCTCCATTTTGTGGTGTCAACATTATGCTCTTCCTACCCGAGACTGCTTACTTGTAGACCCTATGCATGGTGGGAAAACAATGCTCAAAATTTGGAGCTTCAATAAAGTAAGATAGGCCTCTGACATTATAATAGCATGTGTGCCTTTCAATATTATTGACACTAATTTTCACAGAAATGTGTTCACCATATTACCCTCTTTTTTGTGTTTCCTTCTATGCTGACAGTTTTCTGGGGTTTGGGGTCTGTCTAATTGCCAAGGAGGAGGGTGGTGCCCTGTTACTAGACGAAACAAGAGTGCCTCTGACTATTCACAACCTGTGGCTCGCTTTGCGAGTCCTCAAGACATTGAATGGAACAAATGAAGTACCCCATTTGCATCGAAGGGGGTGGTTGTATTAGCTGTGTACCTGTTTAAAGATGACAAGTTGAAGCTACTGAAGTACACAGAGAGTGTAGACAGTTTCTCTAGTAGTGATCTCACCCCGAAAATCAAGCCAACTTGCTCCAATTGGGTTGGTGAACATGCTCAACTCTGGGGGCTCCATTCTTTCAATAGAATTTGATAAACAGAAAAATTTGGTAAGAATTGGGGTGAGAGTATTTGCTGTTAGGATCAGAGTACCAGCATAAATACACACAACTAAAATAGAGACGAGAAAAATAACCCTGACAATAGGCAAAAATGAAAATTTTATAATGACCACTCTTTCCTTTTACAATTGGAAATTACCAATACTAGGAAAGTAAAAGAGAAAGAAGGAGAAATATTTGGGATGTATGAAATAAGGGGGGAGGGGCTCCTTTTATAGGAAGGAGGAGAGCCCCCAATTGAAGTTCCCACGGATGTGGGACTTCTTTCTTCACAATCTCCCACTTGAAGATTTTGATGAAATTAATCAAATCTTCACACTATGTCTTCTTCTCTCACATCCATGTTGCTTATGCTTCCGATAGGCCATAGAGGGATCGACTCCATATAAACTTGTCGACGATTAACCGGCTTTGTCATTACATCTCGCTAGGTTCTTCTCGGTGTGGATCTTACGTAAATCTACACTTCCTTCTTCTACTACTTCTCGAACAAAATGATATCTTATTCCTATGTGTTTTGTCCTCGAATGAAAGGTCTGGATTCCTTGCAATGTGTAAGGCACTTTGACTATCACGAGTACACAACAATTTGTTGTTGCTTGTGACCAAGTTCCCCCATTATTCTTTTAATCCGAGATAGCTTCTTTACATGCTTGGGTGACAGACCATGTATTCAGCTTCCGTAGTAGACAGAGCTACCACATCTTGTAACTTGGATAACCAACTTACTGCCCCTCCATTGATGGTAAACACATAACCAGTAGTAGACTTCCTTTTATCCAGATCACCTGCAAAATCCGAATCTACATAGCCTCCGACAACCGCTTCGATCCTCCATAACATAATGCAACATTTGAGGTTCCTTTTATATACCTAAGGATCCTCTTCACATTTTGCCAATGTTCTCCACCGGGATTCCCCATGAATCTACTAACCACTCCCACTTGCTTGTGCAATGTCCAGGTCTTGTACAAATCATGGCATACATAAGACTTCCCACTCGCTGATGCATACGGTACTCGAGACATTTCAATCCTCTCCGCTTCACTTGCTAGGACTCATACTTGAGGATAACTTACAGTTGACGGGAAGTGGGGTAGAAATTGGCTTGCAATCTTGCATGTTGAAGCGCCGCAAGATCTTAAGTAAATAATTCTTTTGAGAAAGCCAAATCTTCCTATCTTTTCCGTCTCGGTGAATTTGCATCCCTAAAATCTTGTTTGCTGGTCCCAAGTCCTTCATATCAAACTCCCTAGCCAATTGTGCCTTCAATTCTTGGATTCGAGCTTTGTTAGGGCCTACCACCAACATGTCATCCACATACAACAAGCAATATGATGAAATCATTTTCTTCAAACCTATTGTGGTAAGTACAATGGTCCGAACTTAGTCCGTAGTATCCGAGGCTAATAATGAAGGAATCAAATCTCTTATACCAACACCTTGGCGCCTGCTTTAGGCCGGTATAGAGATTTGTTCAACACTGCAAACCAAGTTTTCTTGCTCTTTGAAGTCTTCCGGTTGGAGCATATATATTTCCTCTTCAAGTTCTCCATGAAGAAAAGCGGTTTTTACATCCAATTGCTCAAGATGTAAATCAAATGCACAGCACATCGCCAGGACAATTCGATTGTTGTCAATCTAACAAGCTGGTGAGAATATCTCGTTGAAATCAATGCCTTCTTTCCGAGCATATCCTTTTACCACCAGTCTAGCACGATATCTTTCTACTTGATCATTGACATCTCTCTTGATCTTATAGACCCATTTGCAACCAATGGCTCTGCGACCTTTTGGAAGTTCCACAAGATGCCATGTCTTGTTTTTATGAAGAGCTTCAATTTCTTCTTCCATAGCAGACCATCCATAGAGGAGCTTCCGAACCACTCACGGCCTCTTGAAAAGTTGAAGGTTCTCCTTCTTCACTTAGGAGACAATACGCATCATGACTTGCCATCACATATTGTGAATGCCAAGATGGTCCGACTCTTTCTCTTGTTGATCGTCGGAGTTCTCCTTCTTCCACCTCATTTGGCTCATGTTCTTCATGCTCCTCCTCTAACTCGGAGGAATGTTCCGAAGTCTTCTTCTCTATCTCGTACTATAGTCTTGTCCTTTTCCGAGTCTGTCATTTATCTCGCTTGCTTTGCAATTCATTTTCTCGCAAAGACGACATCTCTCGCTAACAATAACTTTGTGGGCAGTGGGATCCCACAAGCGATACCCCTTCACATTGTCAAGCATATCCCAAGAAGATGCATTTCCTGGATTTTGGATCCAACTTCGTCCTTTCTTGGGTGTTGTACATCACGTACGCGGGACAACCAAACACATGTAAGGAAGAATAATCGGTTGATTTTCCACTCCACATTTCCATAGGAGTTTTCAACCCAATTGCTTGTTGATGGAGACCGATTTATCAAGTAACAGGCAGTATTCACGGCTTCGCCCGAGAAAGACTTTGTTATGCTCGCAGTTTGCAGCATAGCTCCGGTTCTCTCTAGAAGAGTTCTATTCATCCGCTCTGCTACACCATTCTGCCGAGGCGTGTGTGGAACGAGAAAATTGTCTCACAATTCCTTCTTGCTTGCAGAATGCTAGAAAATCTCCATCTACATATTCTCCTCCATTGTCTGTCCTCAAACACTTGATTCTCCTTCCAGGTCTCAAGTTCTACTTGTGCTTTGAAGTCTTTGAACCGCGCAAATACTTCGGACTTCTTCTTGATAGGGTATACCCATAATCTCCTCGAGTAGTCATCGATGAACGACACAAAATATTTTGCTCCTCCGAGAGATAATTCGGTGATTCCCGGACATCAGAATGGATCAAGTCCAAAATTTGCTTACTCCTTGTGGTGGTTCTTGCAAACTTCAACCTCGTGTTGTTTGCTTGTCACACAATGCTCACGTGAAGGGTAAATCGACCTTCTTGAGCCCAGGTATGAGATCACGTTCCGCAAGAATCTGCGAGACCTCGCTCCGACATATGTCCAAGTCTACGGTGCCACGTTATCGCCACTTCTTCTTGGCTTGTCGACGCAGCTTGTTGCATGATTTTCTTGCAAGGTGTCTCCCATAAGCACATACAAGTTTGCCATGATTTTCTCTCGCTTTCATGACAACTATGTTTCCCCTCACTACCTTTAAGATTCCTCCTTCAACATGGATCTTGCAGTCGAGGTCATCCAATTGCCCTATAGACAATATATTTTTCTTCAAGTCCTTCACATGTCGTACTTCTTGGATTGTGCGAATAGTACCAGTCATACATTTTTAATTTGACAAGTACCAACTCCGAGCAATCTCCAATGCATGGTCATTTCCCATGAACACGGATCCACCCGAGATAGGCTTGTAGGTTTGAAACCAATCTCGGTGTGGGGTCATATGCCAAGTTGCACTCTGAATCCATTATCCACTTGTCATGAAATTCGTTTCCGCCATTAGAGCTGATTCGTCGCTTCGCTTACCAGAATTACTCCTTCCTCTGAAGTACTCGCAATGCAACCTTGTGAGGTTGATTCTTCATTCTTCCTCTTCCAACACTCTTTCTTCGTGTGCCCTTTCTTGCCACAGTAGTAGCATTTAAATTTGAAAGTCTTCTTGTTTCGAGAGCTAGATCTCGCCATGATCTTGACTCCCACTTGAGCCACGTTCCGCCGATCTTCCTCTCATCATCGTCAAAACTTACGCTTGTTTAGAACTTTCTACCTTATTCATTCGCCTGGATTCTTCTTCTAGAATAGCTCCGGCAACATCGTCAAAGTGTAGTTGTCCTTCAATATTATTATTTGTAATGTTGATGATGAGTTGATCATACGAGTCCGGCAAGCTCCGAAGTAAGAGCTCCGCACGCTCATTCTCAACTATGTTGAAATTTGCTGCTCGCTAATTGGGCAAACAAGGTGTTCGGTTGGTTGATGTGGTCCAGTCACCGATGTGGACTCACTCATCCGAAGAGTATAGAGTTTCCTCTTCAGGAATATCCTTGTGTGAAGTGACTTCACCTCATATAATTTAATGAGGGCATCCCAAATCTCCTTTGCGAGAATCTTTCTCCGCAACACTTGGATAGAACCGAGTCTGTCATTGCCAAGTGTAAATTTGCAATAGCGTTGCCGTCAATTTTCTTCCAATCTTTATCCAGTCATTTACGCAGGTTTTCCCTCAATTGCTTCTGCGCAATTGTCCTTTCTCAAGATTGCCTTCATCTTCAATTTCCACAACGAGAAATTGTTCCCGTTGAACTTCTCTATCTCGTACTTTGCCGCCATGGTTGTATACGGACTTATGCAACTATCACTTATAAATAGTATTGTCTACCGGAACAATAGTAGTAAACCGTGAACCGAGTACACCAAGTAGGTTCCCGGGAAAGAGAGGTGGGTCACTAATGGACACGCTTAAGTACCAAGTCTTTCCTAGCGTAACTTTCCTCAATAGTACTTTCACACTACCACACCTTTTCCAAGTAACAACTCCTTTCTCGATGTGGAAGATCGGATTAAGCTGCAACCACAGAGCATACTCGAATTTTACCAACACTATTCTAGTGACGCGCAACGGAACTCGAACGCAGCTCTGATACCACTGTTAGGATCAGAGTACCAGCATAAATACACACAACTAAAATAGAGACGAGAAAAATAACCCTGACAATAGGCAAAAATGAAAATTTTATAATGACCACTCTTTCCTTTTACAATTGGAAATTACCAATACTAGGAAAGTAAAAGAGAAAGAAGGAGAAATATTTGGGATGTATGAAATAAGGGGGGAGGGGCTCCTTTTATAGGAAGGAGGAGAGCCCCCAATTGAAGTTCCCACGGATGTGGGACTTCTTTCTTCACATTTGCATCAGAGAAGCCGGAGAGTGTAAGATTGATGGAGAACCTATGGAATTTTGTTATGTTGATAGCACCGTGAGGCTTCAAGTGCCGTGGCCTAGTTCTTCAAGGTTGTCCGTCGTC